GAGCGGGCACTGTCGGAGGGTCAGCGCTGAGCGAGCGGGCACTGTCGGAGGGTCAGCGCTGAGCGAGCGGGCACCGTCGGAGGGTCAGCGCTGAGCGAGCGGGCACCGTCGGAGGGTCAGCGCTGAGGGAGCGGGCACCGTCGGAGGGTCAGCGCTGAGCGAGCGGGCACTGTCGGGGATGTTGACTTGCGGGATAGATGTAAATGATCGCCGAGATGGTGTTTGGATTCGATACCCTGCCCACACCTCTGCCCCAGGATGTCCAGTCACGACATGTCCTGGATTTGACTCAACCCCATGCTACTCACAGATGATTCAGCTCATAGTCACACTGTAATGGGATCTTGCGGTGCGCTGGGTCCTCAGGGGAGGAGTCAAGGATGGGCTGTTGGAAAAGCCCCCCCAGTCAAAGTAAGGGAACCCCCTCGATCCAGTGGCTCACTCCCACCCACCCCCCACAGATTGATAACCCAGTGGCTCTCACCCATGTACCACATAGGAAGGGCAAAATCCCTCCCTGAAAAAGTAGCATTGGTTCTCCCTCTGTGGCCCATCCCCAACCGTTCAGATTTCCCCACTCAATCAGTGAAATCTCCCCCCACCCCCTTCCCCAACTGTTAGCCATGGCAGTGATGGCTTCCACAGTCGAGATGCCCGCTCAATCATCGGTGGGATGCACACCCACGCCTTGCCACTGCCCTGGGGCTCCACCTCTACCCAATATCAGGAGGAGGAGACTATTGAGACACGGGGAGAGATTGGATTAACATGCATTGCCTTTCGTGACTTTTCACTTGAATTGAATTAAATCCCTTAAAACCCACACAATGTCAAGCTCACCATTTTTAAGCTCATGTTTGACGGTGCACCTGTCATCCTCTGCGCTGTCGTCCATGACTTATGTCTGGATTGATTTTTAAGAACAGAAAAAAAAACAGGAAGGGGGCGAAAAATACCAGATTGCACGATAAGAGAGAGAGAGAGAGAGAGAGAGGACTTGATAGATTGAATGCGGACAATCTCAGTCTCCGAGTAGCAGATCCAGTGCAATGGAGGCAAAACCGTCTGACAGCATGTCCAAGGGAAGAGGTGTGGAATCACAAGGAGATAGGGAGGGAGGGAGG